GAGTATAACATTATAACATGATATAAAACTCAAAACTGTTGATTTTACATGATATTGCCCCTTTTAAAAAATACTCCACAGTAATAGTATTTTAATTCCAATCAGTTTTCAAAAATCGTGACGTCAGAAAATTTTATATAAATCTAAACAGCTGAAGTTTTCCAGCTTTATATATGTTGGTTTAAAAAAAACACTTCACAAATCTAAATTTTTGTCCGGGGCAAACAATTTCAAAGCAATCAAAATGACAAAATTATGGAAAAACAGYGCAACTAAAATGAAAACTGTTTTTCATGAACACAACTGACATACTCAGCCCTGCTGCTCAACCCACAAATGCATTTTCCTGACAAAACTGGTGCCATTTAAAAAGGAATAAAAATCTTTTTCACTGGTATCAGCTTGAATGCCAATTGATGCTGTGACAAAGAAATAATCAAGCAAAAACATTTCCTCACTTGTTTTAAGTTTATATAAAATAATTGACATGTAAACCATAGTTGACACACAGAATGAGAGACAGTGAGGTTATTCTCCAGGACAGACGAGCATCATTTTTATCTCAGCTGGAGTTTTTACACAAGTAAAATCTAGATTCTTCTTCTGAAACAAAGACAAGATTGGAGGGGGCGGGAGCAGAGAGACATGTTCTAATCATCTTGTTCAACGCCTGCAGCATCTCCTCTGTCATATAAATGGCTTTATTGCTGGTTTGGATGGATKTGTGTTGTTGTTAAAGTGGGGCTAATTTAAAGGCCAATTATCTGTGTCATAACTCAGTTGAGTGTTACACTAAAACACTTACAATACAGCAACTCCCCCATCTGTTCCTACTGTCTCAGTTTGCATGCACTGCGTTGTTCTGCCTCCATTCACTATTTTTTGTAAGCCTTTCTCAACCCTTGCCTTGTTTTGTCTCACACGTTATTGTGTTTTTCTTTATTTTGTTTTCCTCGTTCTTAATAATGCCTCCTGTCTCCCCAGAGTACAACATCTCAGCAGCAGCCATCGCCATCTTCAGTCTGTTCTTCATGATCCTGGGCACTCTGTGTGTCATCTTCTCCTTCGGGAAGGGCCGAGACTACTTGCTCCGGCCTGCTGGAATGTTCTTTGCTTTTGCAGGTCAGACGGTGCCAGASGGCGAGAATCACTGAGACTGTAGGCTCACATTTCATACTTCAGCCTGGTATTGTTACTGCAGACCCTTTGGTTTGGTGAGGAAATGGTTCTCGTGCAACTGATTTATGCTTTACAAAGCTGGTTATGGAAGCTGCAGGTTTGAGCCCAGATTGCATAGTAAATAGAGAAAATGCAAACATTGCATTTCTGTATATTTAATATGTTTTTTTCTTTTGCCACACAGGTCTTTGCATCATCATTGCTGTTGAGGTGATGCGTCAGTCCGTCAAGCGAATGATCGACAGCGACGAGACCGTCTGGATCGATTACTACTACTCCTGGTCGTTTACCTGCGCCTGTGCATCCTTCACCCTCCTCATCCTCGGCGGAGCGGCTCTGCTCCTCATCTCCATGCCCCACATGCCCCGGAACCCCTGGGAGACCTGCATGGATGCTGAGCCCGACACCTTGGATTAGGACTTAGTAAGAAAACCTGTTAAATGAAAAAAAAAATCAGGAAAATATCTATACAATAATATTTATAATAATAATTTAAAAAGGAAAGAATTTGGATTAATTAGAAAAAGAATTGCAATTCCTCTGAAATTACCCTGTTTCATTTTTTGTTGTGAATATTTTTTATTTTATGGAAATTCATCAATTAATTGTTAATCACRCCTGCTGGTTTCAAGTTGGTGAAAGTAAAATAATAAACTTCTGCATGATCAGTTTTGAAATAATCTAACATTGGCGTTTTCTTTATATCATGTATATACTGACTAGAAATAAAATTTTTAGTTTTCATTGTGTCGTAAATTTACATATCTTTATGATCTTTGGGCATTTCAGAGCTTTTAAATAGCTGATTAAAATGTCACACTTTATTATCATCTTGTTTGTGCCAGTATTATTCTAGTTATTACTATAACCCGCCTTTATTGGCAAAAAGGTAATAATTTTTTCAGCTTTGTGTGTCTGTTGTGTAAGCAAAAGTCAAGAGCCAGTCCCAACCAGCACAAAAAAGCTCTAACTTAGTGAAATTTACAAATATTGAGCTGAGGTTTGAAGTAGTAGTAGCAGAGAGTCATCCTAGACATATACAAGGAGTGCCAACTCCTTTAAATTAACAATGCTGAATGTCATCATTCTCAACATTTGTTAATCTYAGATCAAAAATCTGGTGTCAAATGTTAGAGATGCTACATCTTTCATTATATTTATAGCTTTTTAAAATGTGTTAGCATCAGGTTTGTTACATGTCATTTAGAGAGTAGATGGGACATGATCAAACCTGAGCCTAATAAATCAAAAACAGCAAGAGGAAGGAAGCATTTAAAAAGTAAAAAGTGAGTAACAGTGTGGCTCACTGTTTGGAGTAAATTGTTATAATGAGCTGCAGCTTTTCCTCCTCCTTTCATCAATCAGTCTGTCCCGGTGAGACCACTCGCTGGCATCCGTCATTGATTTTAGGTCACTTATCAAAACTACTTACGACTTCCAGTTGGTGCAGAAGAACTGTTTCATACAGCTTTTATTGGTTCAAACACTGCACAAATAAAAGGTTTACTGAAATCATGCATAAAACTGAGTTTTTAAACCACTTAAATCATGAAGAAGATTAGGCCTGAACAGCTTTAAGCCAGTCGTTGAATGTTCTGTACAAGATGGTCAGCGTGACTGAGGGAATTAAATTATCAAAAAAAAAAATCATTATGGATCAGCATAACCAGATTACTGTTGCTGCAGGCAAGAAATTATTCTCATGAACACATCATTAAGACCCTGTCCAACTACGAGCTATAAGATCTGAGTTTAGAGGGTGAAACACCAGGTAGATGTACAGAAAAATAAAAAAAAAAACAAGTGATTTTTTCATACAAATCTGGTCTTTGCTGAATGACTTTTGAAGAAGTTTTATAGATTTTTTTTTATTATTTTGTAGAGGGCAACATGCATTCTTCAAGAAACAATATGCCATGTGTTTTATGTTTGTTTTAAAAAAAACACAAGTAAATTAGTTTTGTGTCTTCACTGCAGTCTGTCCTCATGCTCTCACTCATCATCCAATCAAAGGGACCGATGTTGGAAAGCACAGTTCTACACCTGTGTAATTATGTGGTTTGTGTTTGTGGACAGAGCATCAGTATTCCTGACAGCCATTACTTAATAACATTTTAAAACTTGTTTTCAGACTAGACATTAAATGTAAATGTGTTAAAAGCAAAGCCATGAATATTGTTAAACTACAAGTTTGTAAACTGCTTGTATTAAAGACTCATGATGCAATTTTATGTCAAAAATTTTTGTGTGTTTTCTTTAATTTGCATTAATGTCATGCAGGGAAAAGTGATGAATGTTAAACAATCTGGTCAAATTTTGCATTTWAATTTGTATTTTCTTCCGAAGTCAAATAAAACTTAGACTTTTGCAGCATTTGGTATATTTTTAATTGCCGTATTTTAAGACTTGTTCTTTTAGAGGCTGTAAATCACAACGGTGCACAGTTTTACATATGAAAAAAAAACTTTTCTGTCTTCCTTTTGCTTGTAATAATAGTAAAACTAGAAAGATCCCTTCTGTTTAGTTGCTCACATTGTAACTGTTAGATAAAAAATCATATTTAGGACAAGCAGTGTTTTTTTTTCCTTACAAGTGTCAAAAATGGGCTTCCGTAAAAAAAAAAAAAAAACTCATTCATCCCGGCAGCCGTTTAAATTTTGAAGTAGATTTTATTCAATTGTTCCGTGTATTCTTAGTCACCTGCACCTATTATGTTTTCGTTTCTTTCTTTTTTGTGGTGAGTCACTGAGGCTCTGCTGTCGTTCAGCTGTGAACATGCAGCTACGTTTTAAAGCTGAGACATTTTACTGTAACTGCAGCCATCACAAGAAAATTAAAGCTAAAAGTCATTGGGCTAAAAAAATGCAATGTGATACGGGATCGTATGTAAATAGTTCAACAATTCAGGCAAATTTAACATGTTGACGCTTTTTAAGTTTTTGTGATGTCAACTTTTACAGTAAAACAGGATCAAATATGTTTCTGATCTTGTAAAATTGTAATTTAGCAGGACTTAAAGGAACGGTTCAGCTTTTTTGAAGTTGTTTTCTCTGGAAAAATTATACATATCTTACCTGTTGTGGATGTGTTTTTTTTTTTGGACAATGTCATTTTACAGAAATTATGTTTAATTCAGGCCAGACTGACAAGCTAACAGCTTGTCAGAGCAAGGTTCAACTCTGCTAACTGTTCTCAACACCTTAATAAGATCCCGTGTCAAAAGAGCTGAACTATCCCTTTTAAAAGCAAGACTTGTACCTAAAAGCCTGACAACAGTTTGCCATTGATTTACTGCTTCGCTGTTCAATGCTAATAAATTATAATTTCTTTGAACATTTCTACTTCAAATGAGAAAATACCTTTTTTGTTGTTGTTGTAATTGTTTTTAAAGAACAAAATAAAAACTTAAACCAATAAAACGTTTTTTTTTTTTGTGCTTTTATGCACCTGAACTGACCTTAATCTGGTGTGGTAGCAGCTGAGATTTCTCCTTACTGTATATATTTCCACAAACACAAGATCACAAAATGTTCCAAAGGATTGCGCTTGATGTCATTCACAAGGTTRCAAAAGAGTTGCATGGAACTAAAATAAAGCATATATTTGATTGTAAGCAGGGGCAGATCTACAGGGGGGCAAGGGGGCAACTGCCCCCCTGTTGTAGAGCCTTGCCCCCCACCCAGCTGCACCCAAAGCAGCCTCCCTACTTTTATGTTTCTTTAATATTTGCAATTACAGTTTTTAGTCCAAAAGCCCATTACAACCTTCAAAATAAACATTTATTTACCAAAAATATATAATTTAAATTATAATCTGAGGCCCCTGAAAAGCTTAGTTACGGTCCTGCAGCAAACACCACATGCCGCTCTGCAGGCGGAACATGTGTCACATTGACGAGGCAGCCTGTCTGCTGCAGAGTGGAGTCGCTGAGCTTCCAACTTTCTGCAGTTAAACTAAGTTTCTCCAGCTGATGTTTTAACACACAACAGTAAAGATGAGTTTGCAATGAATGAAATATCTGCTAAAGTGTCCAATGTTCACGGTGTAATGACGACAGTGACTTAGCGTTAGCTTATTTCCATAGTAGGTTTTGRTATAAATATAAGGTTTCAGGGGTCGACTGATACATCAGCCGGCCAATATTTTTGGCCGATATTTGCATTTTTCCCTTGTATCGCTGTCGGCCGATATGTCCGTCCGTTCAGCCGATCCTTTCTTTGGGTCACGCGAGCGCACGTTGCTGCCCCCTCCCTCTGGGAGAGAGCAGCTGCTAATGTTGTGAGACCGAGTGCCAACAACAAGGGTGAGTTATGAACTGTAAAAGTGTTTTAACTGTCTAATTTAGCTGTTACCCTCTGTGTCAGAATATGAGGGGAGAGAGAACAGTTTCTTTTCCGGATGGGAGCACCATGTTTTTAGTTTCACTTTGAAGCCGCACTGTAATTAACGTGTCCGAGTTGTTTTTCTTTTAAAAAATGCTGGAGCTGCTCACAGGAGGAATAGAAGAACACCTCTATTGTTCTCCCTGCTGGATTAAAATAAAAAAGCTTTCAGTCATTTCTCGCTGTTACGTTCATAAGAGCGAGCGCTGCCGTCCACCATCGTGTGTGAACCAGGCAGACTCCGTGGCGCTCATATTTCACGTTTGTTCTGACCGCAATATAAAAGTCGTGATGCAGGTTTTCTTCGGTGTACGTTTCAAACTGTGATCTAAAGTTAGCGTCAGCTGGTTTAAATGTTTTTTTATTTTTTTTGCCCGGTGTAAAAAACGAGCACTGACTGAGGCAGAGATGCAGTGAGCGCTGTGTCTGAAGTCCTCACAAAGATAGCAAGATGTATGTGTRTCTCTCCTTTTTCTTTCTGTGTTACTCTAGGCATGTTGCTGTTTTTGCATCAAAAATGTTGGGATATTAAAACATAGTCATTTTATTTTATGTAAAAAATATATTAATCTGATTAATTTAGAAATAAAAAAAACAGAATATTTAGCACTAGATAAAATAAATCATGAATTTATTTATTTATTTAAGAAAGGGCTGGAAGAAGAAATCCTGTGTGGCAGCACTTCATACAACCTGCATCAGACAAGGCTCAGTTAATAAATGTTTTTTTTGTTTTGTTTTAAATTAAGACTTGTGTAACATTTGTAATCATTCTTATTTTTATCATGTTAATGTGGGAAGAAAAGGCAGTATCGGCTTCAAGAATCGGCCAAAAAATATCGGCTGCAAGTATYGGTGTATCAGTTAGAATCTAGATTGATGTCAAAAAAATCGGTGTCGGTATCGGCCTTCAAAAACCTGTATCGGTCGATCTTTTCAGGTTTGCTGTTTCGGGACTGAAGTTTCTCTGATGCTTTTGTCAGATCAAGGAAGTAAATAAGCTGCTATGATAATRATATGATAAGCTATGATAATAATGGGCTAATTTAATGGCCTAATTTTTAAATATATCGATGCCTGCACATTGCAGACCAAAATGAAAAAGAAATTTAAAATTAGAGATATTGAGCATTATTATTATTATTATTTTTTTTTTTTGCAAAAAAGCAAGGGTTGAGAAGGAAGAAGAGACAGAGCTGAGAAAGGAATATAGAGAGACCAGGAGGGTCACAGGTAAAGAAGCCCACTGAAAGTGCAACAGGTGAAGAAGATGAGGAAAGTGATGTCAGCATAAGTGGTGAAGAAGAGAATATTTCAGAGTCAGAGAGAGAGAAAGAAGTGCAKAGGAAGCTGAAGGAGAGA